GGAGCCCCCATAGAAGGGATGTCTATGGAGAGATCTCTGGTGTCATGAGGGAGCTGTGGATGATCAGGGGAAGGGGTGCTCTAAGCAGAGTGCATGGCAGAAGCAAAGGCCCAGGGGCAGGGTCGTGCCTGATGTGCCCCAGAAGCAAAGACACACGTGCAGCAGGGGGGAGAGGGCAGGGGGAGGAGGAGTCGTCCAGTTCCGCTCTGAGGGAGCCCAGAGGCGCGGTGGGGGGTCGGGGGTGGCGGGTGGGTGCGTTCCAAGCAGCAGCTCAGCTTCCACGTTTCAGGGAGGCCTCTGGCCCCTGCGACCACAGGGTGGAGCGAGTGAGGGCAAGAACAGGGCCAGGGCTTCCAGAATGTTGCAGGGAGGTGAGGCTCAGACAGGAAGGGGACGCTGCGATCCGCGTAGTCTGGGCACATTCTCGAGGAAGCCGCACAGGGCGTGCCCAGGGCTGGGATGGGGGCTCTGGGGCGCAGTGGCCCCTAGGCCTTGGGCCTGAGAAGCTGGGAGGGTGCGGGTTCCGTGGGCGGGCAGGGTGGGGACCTGGAGCCCGGAGCTCTCAGAGGCCGTCCAGCCCCACACTGGGCGCGCGTGGGGCCGTGGCCTCCTCTGCCGAAGTGGCTTCACCGCTGTGTGGGCTTCTAAGAGGATGTTTTCTGTGAGGAAAACATTGCCTCGTTTTAGTCTGAAAAAAATAAAGTTGGGATTTGATTCGGAGCAGAGAACACATTCGAAGGCCGGTGTTCAGGGCTTTGTTCCCGGCGGGGCTGGGCCGGCTTTCCAGGGCCACTCCTGACAGCCAGCGGCTCCGGGGACCTGGGTCTGGGCCCTGAGGGCCAGCTGCACAGGGCATGACCCGTCTCTGTACCCTGACTTTCCCCCCCTTGCCCCGGGCACCTGACACTCCGCCGCATGCACCACGCCTTCCTCTGGGGCTCCCGCTTCCGCTCAGAAGGCTCGGGAACGGGGTCCTCTCTGGTGGCACCCACCTCGGGGCTCGCCGTGTGTGGTGCCATGAGGCCATAGCCCGGTGGCCACGGTTCTGTGACCTTCTCTCTGAGCATGTGCGCCCAGCAGGCCAAGGGCGGGGCCAGGAGACCCCCCGCAGGGCAGGGCTGGACCCTCTGGAGGAACACGGACCCCTGGGCTCCACCCTAGAGATTTGGACTGGGGGTGGAGGGGGAGCATCTGCTTTTCCAGCACATTCTCAGGGGCTGTGGCTTGTGCAAGGAGCCTGCTCCGGGAACCAGCCCCGAGCCCCCCCCAACCCCCACCATATCCTGCGTGCACCCCCGCTCTGCACAGGCCCCCCCCCAACACACGGGGCTCTGCAGGCTCTGTGGTTGAGCTGAGCTGAGCTCTGGCTGGTTTGGGATTCTGGGAGGGTTTTATTTGTTTACTTTCTCGCCTGTGGAGTTTATTTAAGGCTAGTTTTAAAAATTTCCTACACAGTTTATTAAAGTTATACATTTGAAAACCTATTTGCTTTTAAGCTTTTCCGTTAAACCTAGGGGCTCACATCATCATGGTTATAAATTTAATCGATTGAGATTGGAGAGAACACTCACCTCCCCTATTTCCTTGATTAATGTTTGATTAACTCGCGTTGAATGGATTAAATGCCATTAAACAACAATCACTTCCTTTTCTGCCTTTAGTTAATTAAATTCCCTTGAACCTTTTAAAATGACACTTATAACGTATTTGCTTTTCTCCTTAAGCATTTGGAATGCCTGACGCCACAACAGAATCCCCCCAGGTGCCCAGGAAACTCGAGTAGACCTAATAAATCAGGCTTACACCAAATCGCAGGTTCTCACAGTTCGGAACTGTTTGCAACTGTATTTAGCCCTCTGACAGGGGCCAGTTTTAAATAAAACGTTTATAATCGACCTTCAGTCGTTTGCGCTAAGACTGGCATCCAGAAGTTAATCTGGCAGATTCTTCACGCTGCCAACGGCTCGCAGCTGTGCCCTTGCACACGATTCCTGAACCTCGTGCGAGGTGTCAGTGGTGTGTGGGGGGCGCTCAGGGGCAGGGCGGCTGCAGCAGGTCCGGGGGGGTTTGGGGGGGGGCGTGCGAACATCGAGACTCCGTGGGGCAGGGCCGCCGTCCCCAGACGCGCGGGCTGGTTGGGGGGGGTCAGTGAGTGGGGCCGGAGGACAGCGCTTGGGGGGGACGCAGGGAGAGGCTTCCCGCAGCCTTGAGGGCCCCCAGGCTCAGAGCAGACCCTCCGGGGGGGCAGAGGGGAGCCCAGCAAGGCCGCTGGGGCAGGCGGGGACTGTCGGCCGGAGGCCGGAGCGGCCCAGGCAGGGCTGAGCCGTGGCTTCAGAGGGGCCGGCCGGGTGGAAGCCGGGCTGGGGGACGGGACGGGGAGGGACAAACAGCGCGGAGACGGCCAGGCTTGGGGGCCCAAGGGGGCCGGGGAGGGCAGACGGCCACATCCCCAGAGAGGGCGGGGGCGGGGGCGGCAGGCAGGCCCCTGCACCCTCCTGAGAACCGGAGACGCCGGGAGCCTGGCCGGTCTGAGCAGGAGCTCGGCAGGAGGGCGCGAGGTGCTGACCCCAGACGTCACCGCACGGGGTGTGGGCACCCACCCAGGACGTCCCCCTGGGAATTAGGTCGGAGAAGGAAAGGAGGGGAGTCCGTGAGGGGGACTGACCGGAGGCCGGAGCACCGCACATCCTGGTGGCTGGGGCACGGGACGCCCGGGCGGGAAGGGGTCGCCCTGCAGAGGCTGGAGGGCGCGCTGGGCCCGTGTGGCGAGCGGCCGTGGGGAGGGGGCGTCCGGAAGTGGGGCAGGCGCCTGGTAAACACGGACACGGGGTGCCGGCGCCCTGGAGAACGCCAGTCCTGTGGGCGAAACGTGCCCCCCAAGCCGCCAGCAGCCGCTGCTGGTTTTGGGCCACAGGTGAGGGGAAAGGGGCGGCCCGGTCTCACCTGGGTGGCCTCCAACGGGGCGTGAGGCCCACGGGCGGCAGGCAGGCGGGAAGACAGGAGCCTCTGCGGCGAAGGAAGGGGGCACGCGGCACGGGGAGCCCCGAGCCTTGTGACCGTGGCTGGGACCCCAGCGTCCCGGGTCCCCGCTCTGTAGAGTGGGGGCTGGGCAGGGCCCGGCCAGCCGTGGGGAGGGCTCTGGGGCAGACGCCTGGGGAGCATCGGGTTCCGTCTGCTGAGGGAGGTGAGGAAGGTGCAGGCTTGCGTGGACGTGGTGTGGACATGGCAGCAAATACGGGTGTAGATACTGGTGTAAGTGTGAGCAGGCTGCAGCGTGGATGTGGACGCGCACAGGCGTACACACGACTTCACGTGTGTCCTGTGTTACGTGTGCGTCCGTGTGTGGCGTTACTCTGGCCGCTGACGGGATCCGGGTGGCTTGCCAGGTCGTAGGAAAGCCCCCCAAGACGAGGGAGGTTATAAGCACGGGCGGGAGGAAGGGACGTGCAGCGGGGACGGGAGACGGAGGCAGCGGGAGCCCAGTGCCGGGGGCCCGGCTCACGCCTGCCCCGCCGCCTGGCGCCTCCACAGCCCACTGCACCTGCCAGTCCCGGACTTCAGAGTGGGGTCTCCCCACAAACCCACCCGCCGTGGGCCAGACATGGCGCAGAGGGGTGAGCGCAGGGTGACCGGGAAACCCCATCTGTGTCCCCAGGGCAGACGTCCGCCGCTGTCCCCACAGTGTCCCCACGGACATGCTGATGGCTGGGGGGTTGGGATCTGTCTCCAGAGAGATGCTGGCGGCCGGGGGAGGGGTCCGGTCCCCACAGAGACGCTGGCGGCCAGGGGGTCTGTGGCACCTGCTGGGCGGCCTGCATCCCACCTGGCCTTGCCCCATCCCCCTT